AACAAAAAAAAACAAAACAAAGGCTGGGTTTGACAGATCAGTGCTGCAGCTCTCACAAATCCTCCTGTATAAATTTATTCTTTTTTTTTTTTTTTATCCTCACCCGAGGATACTTTTCCATTTTTTGTACAGATAGAGTGGGAGGGAGAGAGAGGAAGAGACAGAGAGAGAGAAACATCGACGTGAAGGGACACATCGAGTGGCTGCCACCGCACGACCAACCAGGGCCGGGGACAAACTGCAACCGAAGTACGTGCCCTTAGCGGGAACCGAACCCGGGTCTCTCCGGACCGCAGGCCGATGCTCTAACCGCTGAGCCAAACCGGCCAGGGCTATTCTTATTTTTTTTTAGTGGCAATTCAATGATCAAAATTCCTTCAAATGGTTAAGATGCTACAGGAAACTTGGTAAGTCTTTTGAAATAGTGTGATCTTTTAACACAGCACCAAGAGCAGTTACATTGGCTTACTTTTCTTTTCGCTAAGGGCACGTACTTCGGTTGCAGTTTGTCCCCGGCCCTGGTTGGTCGTGCAGGTGGCAGCCACTCGATGTGTCCCTTCACGTCGATGTTTCTCTCTCTCACTCTTCCTCTCTCTCCCTCCCACTCTATCTGTACAAAAATGGAAAAATATCCTCGGGTGAGGATAAAAGAAAAAAAAAAAAAAAAGAAGGAAATTGTAAACAGTTTTCTTTTTTTTTTTTTTGGTACGTGCCCCTAGCGGAAACCGAACCCGGGACCCTCTGGTCTACAGTCCGATGCTCCAACCGCTGAGCCAAACCGGCAGGGCTGTAAAGAGTTTTCTGAAGTCATATTCTATTTGACACATTCACTGACTTCGTGCGAAATGTTAATAAGCCCTGGGTGTGTGGTGAGCAAAAATAATATTCCTGAAGGAAAATGTGGGAGTTTTAGAGTGCTTTGTGCAAAAGAATCTGAGAAAATGATAGCATCGCTGCTCTTGTAAACTACTAAGCAGAACTTGTCCTAACCTCCAGAGTCATCAGAGGAGGTTAATTTGAAGTTCTGAAGCCTGCTCTAAACATGTAATTCTGCATATCTGGATAACTCCAATACAACTTTCAGGCAAAGGCAGAAGACCAACTGGAGAATGGAAGGGAGTATCTATGAGGTTAGTTCTACCTTCCTCTCTAGTTATTACTAAAGTGTACTTAACAAAACAGTAAACATTTGAACAGCTTAGAAAGACAAAAGATAGAGAACGGTGAGAGCTAAACACAAAGAATAAAACACTGGTTAACTGTGGAAATCAAATAGTTCAGAAGCAAGCACCTTCATCCTGAAGAGAACTGCTGCAAAGAATCAATGAATCCTGCTCACACATAGCCACTAGTCCCCAAGAGGTGGCCACCGGGCAAATGTAAAATTTCCAGGACTCTGTGGTAACTGCTTGGGTACCCTGAGACTGACCTTTGTCCAGCCTATTTGAATGGGCACCCTTTGTATTGCCATGGGCGCATTTCAGTAAGGCAGGCCTCCCAACTACTCTAACCTTCGAAGTAGAAGTTCTAAAGTTCCCAAATAACAAAGTTATAGTGAGTAAATGTTTAAACAGCTACTGAAGAATAGTTACTTTTCAAGGTATTTATGAGGGAGGTAGCAATTGATAGCATTTTCAAATTAGGAAACTGAGTCATATCCAATAATTTCAATAAAAATTTTTTTTAAAAAAGGAAACTGAGGCCCATACAATATAGTCTATTACAGAATTTGTCATAAACTACAAAGCAACTCCAGGAGAGGGCCAAGAAGGAAGTTGAAGGTTGGGCTGAATGTTAGATGAACAATAGACTCAGCAACAAAACAGTTTGGCCTAATCTTCAGGATTTGGCCTCTAGCCAAGCCAACCAAGTCAGTGGTAGCACAAAGAAATAGAATTTGGAGTTCTTAATTTCTAATTCTGTTTTGTTCAGTAGATAACCAAACTGGTTTTATTTCCAACGTTTCTTACCAAGGAATGAAAAAGCTTTATGGGTCAACCTTAAAAAGGATAAGCTTTCATTTTTATAAATGAGTAACAAATTTCTGCACCTGGTATTCTCCACTTAGTAACAACCAAAGGTTTAACTAGATTGTTTCAAAATGGAAGATGAATCACAAGAGTCTGGGATTCTCCTCCATTAAATTCTTGACAGAAGAACCTCAAAGATAATCTTCAGAGCCCCTTTCAGCTCATGACTATTTAACTTAACTCCTACCAAGTTAGCGTCAGCTGTTCCTAACTCAAATCTTCTCTTGATCTGAAGAACAGTGTAAAATGAACACGGCATAAGCCCAAAGTTAACCTACAGTATGGATCGAGTGTACTGGAGCCTCATTTGGGATTAAGTGGTTCAAATTTTCTAGTAAGAACTGGAGATCATAAGTTTGCAATGCAGTTCTAAGACTTTTTCGGAGAATACCTGCGGAATGTGGGGAGTAAAGCTGTGGAACTGTCACTCTCAGTTTCAAATTATTTTATGTATTTATTTTTGTTTCCACTGATTTTTTAGAGAGGGAGAGATAGAAACATCAATGTGAGAGAGAAACAACCATGGCTGCCTCCTACACTCCTCCTACTGAGGATCCAGCCTGAAACCCCAGCATGTGTCCTGACTGGGAATCAAACTGGGACCTCTCAGTACATGGGACGACGCTCAATCCACTAAGCCACACTGGCCAGGCTCTCACACTTTTTAAAAATTTTACTTTATTATTTATGAATAGGAGGAGCAGGGGTTCAGTTCTGAAGAACACTTCAAGGTTCTTGCTATTAAGGCCAAAGGCTTAGAAATGATTTGACCATCTGTAATTGGCAAAGAAATTCATCACAAAGTACCCTCAAAGAGCAAGTTTACTGCCCAATTACTCCCCTAGATCAGAATATACCCAGGCATAGTTTTAACTGACATTTTAGCAAAAGAATGATCAAGATATCCCTGAGCTATAAATCTCCCTGAATTTAGATTTCCAGCAGGAAACAAAATGGTTTAATCTGCAATTCAAAAAGGAACTTCAGCCCTGGCCAGTTTAGCTCAGTGTTTAGAGCATTGGCCTGTAGACCAGAGTCTCGGTTGGATTCCCACTCAAAGGCATGTACCTCTGCTGTGGGTTTGAAACCCAGCTGCAGTCTGGGTTGGGCCAGAGGCAACAAATCAATGTGTCTCTCTCACATCGATGTGTTTCTTTCTCTCTCTCCCTCCCTTCCACTCTCTAAAAACCAATGGAAAAATAGCCTCAGGTGAGGATTAAAAAAAAGAATTTCACATCAAACTTAAATTTTTAAGAATCTACTTCAGCTGTAAATGTAAAGCTGAGTATTTATTTTTTCAGAGCAGGTCTCCTCTACCTCCAAAACTCCCATATATGTGAAGTAGCTCCAAACTGCAATTTCTATTTTGGTAGCATCTAGAATCTACAGAAGAGATTTTCAATTACTTGGAATTTCAAAATAGAGGTTTCCTAGTAACAATGCACCTGTAGCAACCTCCCCCCCCCACCCACCCATTTAGTTTGTGGGAGAAAAATTCTTTGAATTGGAAAGAATTTGTATTCTTATAAAGACTACAATGGAATTCGTTTTTTTTCCCTCCTTCTTCTTCCTCTAGGAGGGCAGATATTTCTCCAAAAGTTTTGGTAGAAGTTATGGCTCAGATTTCAAAATGCAAACAGATGTTCCTGAAGCATCCGAAATGGGCCACTCCCCTTTTATTCCCATAATCCTGGTGACTCTAAGTTATTTTGTATCCCAAACCTGTAAAGGGCAAAAACCCATACCCCTTAGGTGTAAACTTTCAAGAGAAGTGGAAAAACACCCTTTTGGAGTTTCCCCAAGTGGCTAGTGACGTGCGAGGTCAGGTAGTTCCGAGAATGGGCGCTGGATAGGTTAAACCTTGAGGACAAGAGCGTTCAGAGATTTCCAAGCATTGGGCTTGTGAAGGTTTCTACAGGCCCCTACCTAACTAGTCCCAGTGGAAATTAGGAGTTGGGCTGTTACTGGAGGAAGGCTGTTTCGAAGCCCCGGCCGCCGATGGCCTTGGTATATGAGGATGGGGGTGGGGAACGGTGGGTGCACCCGGCTCTCCGACCTCGGAGCCTCCAGCTGACTGCTACGCCAGAGGGACGCGCGGCCGGTGCAGCGACCTGCACCCTCCCCTGCGGCCCCCAGTGTTTGGAATCTGGCGTCTTCGCCACCTCGCCCGTCCAAGTGGGGGCGGAGGGGGAGTCGCGCTACGCTGGGCCTCGCCGCCATACCCAGGCCGAATGGGGCTGGGACAAGAACTTGGCAGAGCTCGACCGCATGATCTGCGTTCCCGTGGAAAGTCAGAAGAGTCGTTTCACCCGATCTCTCCCCAACTGGGGTCTCGGGAAACACGCGGTAATTACCCAAGAACCCCGCCCTCTGTGAGAGGCGAGGCGGCGAGGCTGCCGGGACGGTTTGAGGCCTAGGCCCGGCCAGAAGACTCCAACCTTCACCCCCCAAACCCCCAGTCCCACTTCCCGCCATCTCCCGGCGTCGCCACTTCAGGCAGCCCACTCGGCCCGGCCTCTCCCCACGCCCGGACCACCCCCCATGGGGCGCTCTCACTGTGCAGCGAGTCCCTCCGCTGCCTCCTCCCAGCCCAAAATGGCGGCGGCGGCGGCGGCCACCGATCCTTCTGGTCGCCTTCCTCGAGGACCGAGGATCCCTCCGCGCCCACAGCCCCTCCCCCCTCGGCCGGATCTATTTTCTGCCTAGTAAAGATTAACGCCATCAATGAACTCTTTAATTGAGCTGAGAAGCTGATCCGGTTGTGCTTCCGCACAGCAAACGTTTCAAAAGCGAAAATATTGGCAGACGAGCTGACCAATCAGAGGAGGCAAAGGTGAGCGCGGGACGACTCCCGCGCAAGAGGAGATGGGTTTTGGAGTTCTCAGCGTAGCTGTTGACGTGACAGGATCTTGGGTCGCCTTCCCAGGGTAGAAGAACTACAATCCCCAGCAGGCACCGCACTGTAAGGCTGTTCCCTCCCCCCAACCTTAATGCCTGAGCGGCTTGACCAGAGAGAGCTGCTGCAACTGCAGCAAGACGTAGGGCTGAGGCGTTGGGGATTGCAGAGACAGACGATTGCACAAAGACACACAGATATAGTCGTGTGCATAGCCCTTGACAACAAATAGGTCAGTTCCGCCTTTGCAAAACCTCTTTCCCGGACCATTTCCTCTTCCAAAGAATCCATCCTTAATCCAGTTTAGTTTCCCTCCCAGCTGCATGTACTGTGAAGACTTCTTCCCCTTTCCTCTGTTTCCCGTCCTGAGAGGAAGCAGGGAGACAGGCCAAGCCCTGTGGACGAACAGGCCTCAGGCTCAGGCCCAGCCCAGGCTCCAGACGTGTTTCTTGAGGCAATGACTTCTGGAGCCCCGCTTGGGGAAGCGTTAGGGGACTGCAGTTAAGATTGAGGCCTCTGGAAAGGACCCAGTCTTGTCGGAACCACTGACCCAGTCCACTCTGAGTCTCTAGGTCATTGCTGTATGTATATTGGCCTCCTCAGGCAGTCTCCTTGCCCACTTTGGTTGTTGGGGGAACAAAGCTTAGTCCTACCTTGGGCCTCAGTGACTTCCAGGAGAACAGTATCGGATATAAGCCTGGCCCTGGAACCTGAGAAACAGGACGGGGAAGATGGCTTCTTAGTCCCCATTTGGCCCCTTGCTGGCTGGAGGTGTGAAAAACAGGGTGTGGAGGCCGCCTTTAGGGCCTTCATTTGAAAATGAGGGTGTGTAGGTCTGAAGCTACAAAATGGCTGCTACTGCCTTGGTTCAAAATTCCTGGGCAGCAAGCCTTCCTGAGACTTCTCCTTCAGGACTTAGGTTTCTGTTGTTATTTAAAGCAGGTGTCACTAGTTAAAGGCATCTGCTGAGAGATTTGGAACAGAAGAAGGTGGCCACTCTGAACCAGACCAACTGTAATACAGAGTGATCAGCAGCCATGGAGGAGGCCAAGGTAAGCCTCACCTTCCCAACCCCCTGAGTGCCCTGAACATGGATTCTGCCATCTGGGATCCTGGCTTCTTGTCTCAGATGTGTCGGCAAATTTGGAAATACAATATTTTTAAATGAGTCCCTGCTATGTGCTGGGTAATATGCCAGATGCTAAGTCTGTGCTATCTAATGACATCCTAGTAGCTCTTCAAGGTGGGACTTATTATTTCCCTTTCACAGAAGGTAAGGTTTTATTTTTTTAGAGAAAGGAGGGGAGAGGGAGAGAGAGATACAAACATTGATGAGAGAGAACATCCATTGGCCACCTCCTGCATGTCCCCCACTCCGGGGATTTGGCCCACAACCTGGGCATGTGCTCTGACTGGGAATCGAACTGGCGTCCTCTTGGTCCACAGGTCGATGTTCAACCACTGAGCCACACTGGCTGGGCCAGAAGCTAAGTTTTTTTTTTATTCTCACCTGAGGACATTTTTTGATATTTTGCTCAGATAGAGTGGGAGAGAGAGAGAGAGAGAGAGAGAAATATTGACATGAAAGGGGCACATCAAGTGGCTGCCACCCACATGACCCAACCAGGGCTGGGGACAAACTGCAACCAAGGTATGTGACCTTAGCTGGAACCGAACCCAGGTCTCTCCGGACTGCAGCTCAATGCTCTAACCACTGAGCAAACTGGCCAGGGCCTAAGTTTTTTGTTGTTGTTGTTTTTGTTTGTTTGTTTTTCTTTATTGATTTTAGAGAAAGAGTAAGGCAGAGAGAGAGAGAGATGGATACATTGATGAGAGAGAACATTGACTGGCCGCCTCCTGCATGCCCCCCACTGGGGATCAGGCCTACAACCTAGGCATGTGCCCTGACCTGGAATCGAGCTGGTGACCTCTTTCTTGGTGCATGGGTCAGTGCTCAACCACTGAGCCACACTGGCCAGGCAGAAGCTAAGTTTTTAAAAGCTGAAATACTTTTTCTAGAATCATGCAGCCAGCAAGCAACAGATTCAGAGTTTAAACTTAGGGCCTCTGACAACAAGAACCCTGCCATATATTTTGTCGGGGCTGAAGCAGGGAAAAAGTTTGAGCAATTGGTTCATAATTTGGGATGAGATGGGTAGTAGGATATCACCCACAAGAGATGGAGAGACAGATTGTATGAAACCCTTAGGATGTCACCTTCTGTTTTGGCAACAGGAACCCAAACCCCCCAGACCGTGCTCACTCTCACTGCCCCTACCTTGCCCATTCTTCTCCCCTATTCCACAACTACCTATAGCGGAGGAGGGAACTCAGCTCCTCTGACTCACCCTACCTAGCCACTTACAGTGTTTCCTGGATTTATTTAATTTGGACTTCATGGCATGCCAGGGCTAGAAGGTTTAGAGAGGATAAATGACTCACCCAGGTCACACAGCTCACCTGCAACAGTGGTAATAGTGGTAGCAGGACAAACCTTTAGGAGGGAGGCAGCATGTGGGGCTGAGGGGCAGGATTGGCTTGGGTGAAGAGAAAGATCATTAGGGAGCATTTGCTGAGGTTTGGGACCAGGTGAATTACTGTGCACATAAAAACAAGCCACCCTGCCCAGAGTTCCCAGCAGCCTGCCTGTTCCTGGGTGGGGCTGAGATCTGTCTGATTTGGCTTAAGACACTGATGGAGATGAGGCTGGTCATTTTTTTTTTTTTAAATAAAGAGTCTCACTTTATTATTTTTTATCCTCATTCGAGGACAGTTTTTGCATTTATCTTCAGATAGAGTGTGAGGGGGGAGAAATATCGACGTGAGAGAGACACATTGACTGGCTGCCACCCACAGGACCCTAACCGGGGCCGGGGACAAATTGCAACCGAGGTACTTGCCCTAGGTGGGAACCGAACCCAGGTCTCTCTGGTCCATGGCCGACGCTCTACCCACTGAACCAGACTGGCCAGGGCAGGCCTGTCGTCTTTTTTTTTTTTTTTTTTATCCTCACCTGAGGACATTTTTCTATTTTTTGTTCAGGTAGAGTGGGAGGAGGAGAGAAGAAGAGAGAGAGAAACATCGATGTGAAAGGGACACATCGAGTGGCTGCCACCCGCACGACCAACCAGGGCCGGGGACAAACTGCAACCGAGGTACATGCCCTTAGCGGGAACCGAACCCGGGTCTCTCGGGACCGCACAGGCCTGTCATTCTTAATTGATCTCTCTGCAGGTGAAATAACAGTACAGTACAGCGCACACGTACACACATGCACACACACAACACACTCTCCAACATACCTCATTTTCCCTAAAGGTCTCTTCAGGGTTTGCAAAATGTATGTAACACACCTCTAGCTTTTACAGGGCTGCATTCCCCCCCGCCCCAATACATACCCTATGCATGTATGGACCCAAGCTCAGATGTCTCTGAACCATGTTGTACATTATAAAACAACAAACCAGTGGTAGTAGTTATTATTAGAATTCCCCAAACCACAAACTTAGAGCAACTCATTCTCCATTCCCCTCTCAGTACTCCCCCCCACCATGAAGAGATAACCAGATGCCCTGAACACACACTCTCTTGACAGAATCCTTTGCACCTCTTAGATAAGTTCTAGAATTCTCTCAGCTGGAGACTGGAGGTTGACCTTTCCTCTCCCTAGTTAGGACCTCTTTCCTGTTCCTCATGCAGATGAATGATATCAACTCTTGCCTAAAATAAATGCACTCCATCTTCTTCACCCTAAAATGACAGAAAGGAGAATCTTGTGTTCCAATATCTTTTGGATCCCCCTCTCTTATGGGCTTTATATCATTTAACATATATTTATTAAGCACTTACCTTGGACCATGCCTAGGGACACAGTGGTGAACTGAACAGACAAGATGCATTCTTTTTTTTCCCTAAATACGTTTTACTGATTTTTTTTAGAGAGGGAGAGAGAGATAGAAACATCGATCAGCTGCCTCCTACACGCCCCTTACTGGGGGTCAAGCCTGCAACCCCTGGCATGTGCCCTGACCATGGGACCTCTCAGTCCATGGGATGACACTCAATCCACTGAGCCACACCAACCAGGCAAGACAGCATTCTTATAGGAGGAAGACAGATGGTAAATGGTAACATGCTAAATGCAATGTGGGATATTAACTGTGTCACATGATAGGGAGTCAGTGGGAAGAGGAGATGTGGGGCTACTTTAGATAGGGTGGTCAGGGAGGGCCTCTCTGAAGAGGTGGCATTGGAACAAAGCCCTAAAGGATGAAAAAGGGTCAGCTAGCTGCAAGCAGGATCAGCTACATAATTTGTGGGGCTCAGTGCAAAGGGCTCTTTATTAAAAATTGTTAAGAAGGCCCTGGCCAGTGTGGCTCAGTTGGTTGGAGTGTTGTCCTGTATCCTGAAAGGTTGTGGGTTCGATTCCCCATCAGGGCACATACCTAGGTTTTGGGTTCAATCCCAGGTCAGGGCAAGTATAGAATGCAAACCAATCGATGTTCTCTCTCACATTAATGTTTCTCTCTCCCTAAGTCCCTCGCTCTCTTTCTTTCTCCTTCTCTAAAATCAATAAGTATATCCTCGGGTAAAGATTAAAATATTATTAAGTTCAAGACAATGACAGCAGAGCATTAAGCAAAGCATGGGCCTTTCTGATGGGGAGGGGCATTGAAATCACAGTGAAATACACAGGCGAAATTCCTGCTATTGCTGTGAGTTTGCTTGTGGCCAGTTGTGGGACAGACAGTAGACAGGTAAGCCATAAACAAATGGTTGCAGAAGGTTGAGCTCTAGAGAGGGACTGTTAGGTGGGTGTGGGAGGGGGTGGAGGGGCAGGGAAGGATTCCACCACCAGGGTCAGACTGGCTGTGATCCATCCTTCCTCATGTTCTCTCTTTAGACCTCTGGCTCTTCTGGGAGCCCAGAAACACCTCCTGAGCCTCATGACCCTGGCGATTCCCTGCCCCTAACACCCCGGATGGAGAGCCACTCAGAGGAGGAAGATCCTTCTGGGGCTGGTGGTGGCCTGGGCTGGAATGGTAGGGGTCCCCGTACCCAGAGCCCAAGGGGCAACTCAGTGGAGGCAGTGCTGGGCCGGAGGAAGCACCGCCGGAGGCCTTCAAAGCGCAAGAGGCACTGGCGGCCCTACCTAGAGCTGAGCTGGGATGAGAAGCAACAGCGGGATGAGAGGCAGAGCCAGAGGGCCTCCCGGGTCCGAGAGGAGATGTTCGCCAAGGGCCAGGCTGTGGCGCCCTACAACACCACCCAGTTCCTGATGAATGACCGAAACCCAGAGGAGCCTGACCTGGATGTGCCCCATGGGGCCCCCCATCCAGGGTCCAGTGGGGAGAGTGAGGCAGGAGACAGCAGTGGCGGGCAGGGCCAAGCTCCTGGTGAGTTCCAGCAGAGGGATTTCTCAGAGGCCTATGAGCGCTACCACACAGAGAGCCTGCAGGGCCGCAGCAAGCAGGAGTTGGTGCAGGACTACCTAGATCTGGAGCGGAGGCTGTCGCAGGCTGAGGAGGAGACCAGGAGGCTGCAGCAACTGCAAGGGCGCACCAGCCAGCAGTCCTGTCGCCAGGTTGAGGAGCTGGCTGCTGAGGTAGAGAGGCTCCGGACAGAGAACCAGCGGCTTCGGCAGGAAAATGAGATGTGGAACCGAGAGGGCAGCCTTGGCAATGGGGAGCCGGGCACCTAGGGATGCCCCCAACCAAGTTAACCCAAGGAGACAGTTCCATTTCATATATATTTAGGCCAGCTGAGTCTCAAGGAGGCAGGTGGCAGGTAGCAGATGAAAACCATTCTCAGCACCCCTGCATCCCCTGAGAACAGCTTGATGTCCACCTTGTCATTTCCACAATTTGTTCTTTAATGTCATCTTATTTTTCACAGAGAAAATAAATGGTTTTGGTGAAATCAAATGCAAGTGGCTGGGATTGATTTCACTAGGGCTCTGAGATTCAAAGCACATTCATCCCAGAGAGATTTGGGACTTGGGGTCCTAGTGTCCCCTTGCCCCAAGTCTAGGAGGACAGCAAACCTGTATTGGGGACCTATCAAGATCTCCAGGATGCCTGAATTCTGCTTTGCGTGTTGGGGGCAGTCAGACTGCTCTGAAGGTTTTATAGAGAGGTATGTAGAGGTGGGAGTGGGCTCAGTCAGCAGCCCCTGGGTTCAGCCAGAACTTGACTTAAGATGCCAGATTGCTAGGAGGAGCTGGGAGCTTCCCCAGAGGAGAGAAGGCTGGGACTTTTGGAGAAGGTCCAAGTCCAGGGATTCCTTCAGGGTTTGTCTGCAGGCTCCCTGTGTTCTCCCTGTCTTCCCTATAGTTTAGAGGCTGAGCTAGATGAAGCCTGGGTGCCTTGTGTCTCCTTCTCCTGATAGCCCCCCCATCTCCCACATCTTCCAGCCAAGGAAAGGGCACTTTAAGCACTCAAGGGAGGTTTCTCCTGATGGAAAATCAGCCCAAGAGGCAGTGAATTGATCCTTAGTAGAGCTGGTGGCCTGGCTTTCCTGGTGCTCTCTGTGCCTCCTGCTCCTCTTAGCTGAATCACCTGTATGGTGAATCCCCTCTGAGTTGAGCCTCTGACCTGTGTGCACATAATAGAGAGCTGAGGCAGCCTGGAGGATGCTGATACCACCAACGTGCCAGCAGTATTGGGCTCTGAAAGGAGCTCACACACCCCTGCTAGATGGAAATGTTGTGAACCCTGTATGTTGCCAGGATAACTTTCATTTCTGCCCTGCCACACCCAGGCCTCACCAGTACCCTGTACAAGGAAGCAAGACGACGGATTCAAGGAAGGGATGGGTTTCAAGAGAGAACAAAAATCTCCCATCCCATGCCCAGCCAGTGTGATTCACTGGTTGAGCATTGACCCATGCACGAAGAGGTCGCCAGTTCGATTCCTGGTCAGGGCACATGCCAGGTTGTGGGCCTGATCCCCAGTGGGGGGCATGCAGGAGATGGCCAATTGATGTTCTCCCATCAATGTTTCTATCTCTCCTTCTCTCTCTAAAAATCTGGTTTAGCTCAGTGGTTAGAGCGTTGGCCCGCGGACCAGAGAGTCCTGGGTTTGGTTCCCGCTAAGGGCATGTACCTTGGTTGCAGTTTGTCCTCGGCCCCTGTTAAGGTCATGCAGGTGGCAGCCAGCCGATGTGTCTCTCTCATGTTTATGTTTCTCTCTCTCTTCCTCTCCCTCTCCTTCCCCCTCTATCTGAAGATAAAATGCAAAAATGTCCTTGGGTGAGGATTAAAAAAAAAATCCCCTATCCCTGTGGGGTCTGCCCCTGGAACCCTGGCCAAGGGTGTTAGGCCCCTTCCATATAAGGGACAGCTCTGTCAGGAAGGGCCAGAGGAATAATTATCCCCACTTTGCAGATGGGAAACCCAAGGCTTAGAGAGAGAGTGGCTTTTGGGACTCTAGGAATGCTGACCCAAGGCCTGCCTTCCCCATGGGGTGCTAGCTAGGGACCCACAGAACCCTGGGCAGGCTGGGCAGCCTCCCTGCTGCTGCATTCTTCAGCATGGAGCCTGAGGGAAAGGGGAGGGGGAAGTCTGTTTACCTGGAGGGGTGTGAGTGTGTGTGTGTCTTAGTAACTAGGAGGGAAGATTCCAGAGGCTGCGGTAGTGTGTGGGGGATGGGTGTGGGGGTGGTGTCAGGAGGTGGTTTGGGCCAGCTGTCCCTGAGTAGGCTAGAGCTTCACACGGGAGGGGACAAGTGAGAAGTTCAGCCCTTCTTGGCCCAGAAGCAGAGTAGCCTGGAGCCAGGAAAGCTGCCAGCTGGCCCTCTCCGCCCCCAACACACACACACACACACACACTCCCTCTCACACTGGCTGAAGGGCTCTTGGTCAGGACTGTACCAATGTGGATTAATATTCCCAAAGTGGTGGGTGACAGGATGGGGCAAGAAAACAAAGAAGGGTGTGAGCTGGGAAAGTGTCAGGAGGGGCTGAAGGGGATTAGTGAAGAAGTCAGTGTCACCCCCTTTCCACATCTGGTTCCCTGTCCTCAGTGCCCCCCACACCCCAGTGGAGCAGGAGAATCTCCAGGCTCAGTACTGGGAAGAGGCAGCCCAGCTGCAGGTGGTGGCCAGGCGCAGGTTCATTTTGCCTCCCCCTTTCCCTCTCCACTGATCCTGAGGCCTGAGCTTCTCCCTACCCATCAGTGATGTAAGCTCCAATTTACACCTCCCATCTCCAACACACATACCCCCTTCAGCTGGAAAGAGGGGCTTGGACACACTCCCTTCTCTTCCCCAGGCCTTTCCAGAGCAAATGCCCAGTGCCTTACTGCTCTGGTGTCCATTTGCTCTCCAGGACCTACTTTTCTTTTTTTAATCCTCACCTGAGGATATTCTTTCCATTTATCTTTAGATAGAGTGGAATGGAGGGAGGGAGAGAGAAATATTGATGTGAGAGAGACAAATAGACTGGTGGCCTCCCGCGTGACCCCAACCAGGGCCAGGGACAAACTGTACCCGTGGTATGTGCCCTTGGCTGGATCAAACCCAAGACTCTTTGGTCTGAGGGCCTAGCTCTAACCAGAGCAATTTCCAGGACCTTCTTAGTCACCTGAGCCACGGTGGGGAGGCCCAGAGAGGCAGATATTTCACAGGAGTTACTGCAGAAGTTTTCCACCAGCCCTGTTTACCCTGGCCTGAGATCCTCCTTTCTTCCCCATTCAAGATTTCCCCAGCTCAGGTGCAAACTCCTGTGTTCAATGGACATACCTGCCTGCAATAGGGTCAGGGAATGAAGAGAGGTAGTGGGAGTGGACAGAGGAGCTGAGGGGGCAGGAAGAAGCTGCCAGGAGGTGGGGAAGAGGGTCTGAGGTGAAGTAATTCAATATGAGGAAAGAGGGTTGGCCAGGTCCCATTGCCTCTATTGGGTGTAGGCAAGGATGGCACTGTCCCTTTAAGTGGGGGTGCCAGTCAGTGCCCTCCCCTTGTGAACCCAATTCGTGGGCACACTGAGCATGTGCAGGAGCTGTGCAAGGGAGGGGAGGGAAGTGGGGGGATAGATTCCGGAGGGAACTCCTCACCCCCCGACTTCCTGTAGCTGCCCCACTCTCCTTCCTGGGTCTGACAAAGGAGCCATGGTGCTCCCCCAATCCCTTCCCCCATGCCAGACCCCAGTGGGTGCTGCCCTCTAGGGGCACTGGGGTCTGCAAGGGGTGATGGACAGGTCCTTTCTGTCCTGGGAATTCTCAGGCAGCCCCCTGCTGCCCAGAGGTGGCACACACACTCAGCCCAGTGACATCCTCACTTCCGTGGTGTAGGCAGTGGGCAATTTTCCTCTTGCTTAACGTGTCTGATTTCATTCCACTGGTGCCAGAGGTTTTAAAAGATCCATAGACCCATGGTGACGCTCTGCTCTGAAAATTAAAAACAGCTAAAAAATATGAGGTCCCTGCCCCCATCCCCCAGGAGCTTCCAGTCTAAAGTCAGAGGAAGCAAACAGCTCAGAGGCTTAATTAAGACTGCCAAGTCCTCTTCCCTGCCTCCTACCTCAGCGCCTCCCCCTTCACCTTCCCTCCCCCTCTTGGCACTTGCCTATTCTTCTTGCTCCCTTTAATCTCTTAGCCACAGTTACCCTTTTTTGATAATTGATCGATTTTAGAGAGAGAATGAAAGGGAGCTAGGAAGAGAGAGAGAACAGCATCAATTTGTTGTTCCACTTGTTTATGCACTCATTGGTTGATTCTTGTATGTGCCCTGACCAGGATCGAACCTGTAACCTTGGTGTATCAGGACAACGCTCTAACCAACTGAGTTACCTGGCCTGGGCTGGTACCCTTATTTTTATTTGAGGTGAAATTCACCTAACATGAAATTAAACATTTTAAAGAGAACAATTCTGTGGCGTTTAGTACATTGACAATGTGTGCAACTGCCACCTCTATATTACCCCCAAAGGAAACCCTTGCACCTATTAAGCAGTTACTCCCCATTCTTGCCTTTCTCCAGCCCAGGCAACCACCAATCTGTCTTTTGTCTCTATGGATTTACTTATTCTTGATAATCTGGTGGTAGAGGCAAGAGGAAAAGAGTGGTCTCTTGGGACCTGTATCAGAAAAACACAGATCCCCTGGGGCCTATGTGTAGGACACACTAGACCAGTAGACCAGTATTCTCCCAAACTGTGATCTATCCCAGTTCTGCTTCTAATTCAGGGCCCTCCTCTCTTCCTTTTATCAAGGGGTGGGGGTTTCAGGCCAGTGCAGGATCCTGGGCCCTCTAGGGCCTATTCCTGGCCAGGGGGCTTCTGTCTAGGATTGTGTTAGTGGCCTGAAAAATATAATACCTCCTTAATCCTCTTGGCTCCTCCCTGCCAGGTCCAGGAAGTCAAGGTGGCCCCATGGGACTTACTGTGGGGTTTGGGGTCAGAGGCCTGAGATGAAGAAACTTCAGCTTAGAGAGGTTGGGAAACTTGCTCAAGGCCACACAATGCCTGTAGCAACTTGTTTTGATTGTATTTGAGCTCTTGACCATTGTGCCCTCCTGTCTTCAAACAGGTAAGTAAATTAAGGACTTAGCAAAGTGTCAGCTGTGTAGGAGGTGCTCTTAAATGGAAGCAGCCATAAACTTGACTACTTTGGGGGCATTGCATAATAGTGAAATGATTAGCTCCACTCCAAGGTGGGTTGTGGGAGTTCCTCTCACCCCACCTTCCCTTATCTTTTGGAGAGGATTTCCATTTTGCTTTCTCCACTGGGCTCCCTAGAATGACAGCTTTTGTGGAGGTGGAGGGGGGCTGCCTGGATCTGAACCCTTAGGGCAGTTGGGTGTGCAAAGCTTGGCTCATCAACCCCCAAAGATGATGTTATTTGTTGCCTTCACCTGGGGCTTAATTCTCCCATTTCTCCATGGCTAATCATTCACCCCTGTCCTCCAAACAGAAAGGCCTTTGTGGACCC